TTAAACTCTGTACATATCTTGTTCAGAAATGTACAGAGTTATAATATAATGCCTCTTCTTTTAAGTATGACAAACAGTGTTCATTAGTATGTTTTCTATTTATTTCAGCATTTATAGCATTTTCTTCTATTCCTGAGTTGGCTCAAAAGATCAAAAATTTTTTTGCATTAGCTCCAGTCATCTACATGAAATACATAAACAGGTTAGCAAGTCTAATCCTACGTATTTCTTCAAAATTATATAAGGTAAGCATGTTTTCTATCTCACAGAAATTGTTAAGAATACATAGCAACTCTATTTTTTGCCTTTTTCAACTCTTCAATTAGAGCAACTTGCTATGCAGACTTAGAAAACAGGAAAATGAAATAGAAAGAAAAATTTTAGCTTGAGTTAGGAGACTGGTGATAGGTTGTATTTCAGTCACAGGTTACCTTGAACAAGTGACTGAAATAATTCTAATTTCAGTTTGTTTCTACATAAGCAACAGATTTGGTCAAATTAATCAGTACCTCCCCCCCACTTTTTAAAATTTCTGTATTATAAAAATATACCAGGACATTGGAAAATTATTTACAAACCAAACATTTCATACAATTTCTTGCCTCTTTTTTTTCACTTCCAAAGTAACTGGTTTCATTGTTAGCTGCTGTCTGTCTAGTTTGTTTCCATCCACAGCGACCTTGTATAGGGTTTCCAAGGAGCCACTGATGGGCTTGAACCATTGACCTTACAGTTAGCAGTCCAGTGCTTATCCTACAGTACCACAGGATCAATAAAACATGACAACAATTTATGTAAACATGGAAGAATTTAAATACCTTGTTAAGACTTTATATTGCAAATGTACTGCTAAGTCAGCTGGCTTGATGTTATTGGGCTTAATTAATTTAACATGCAAATAACAATTTAAATAAAAGCAACAATAAGGAAACAATTTTTCTTTTGAATTTTTTAGTTTGGAATTTTGTCTCTTCAGAGATACTGACTACTTTGAAATTCCAAGAACAGATATGCTCAAAATTTTGAGAGACTTTTAAAACACTAAAATCAAATAGCATTGAAACCATCCATCTCCCACTGCAGAGTCAACCATGAAATGAAAATTATCATAGATGATAGACTGTTGTTGTTGTTAAGTGCCGTCGAGTCGGTTCCAACCCATAGCGACCCTGTACAGGGTTTCCAAGGCTGTAAATCTTTACAGGAGCAGAAAGCCTCATCTCTCTCCCTTGGAGCGGCTGGTAGTTTCGAACTGCTGACCTTAATGTTCGCAGCCCGATTCGTAACCACTATGCTACCAGAGCTCCATAGATGATGGATAGCTCCCCCAAAAAACTGATTAAGTGCAATTTCCCATTACTGGTAGCCCCTGAGTTGATTCTCATTCATAGAAACCCTATAGGACAGAAACACTATAGGACAGAACTTCCTAACTGGTTTCTAAGACTATAAATATTTATGGAAGCAAACTACAGTTTTTCTCCCACATAGCAGCTGGTGAGTTCAAACTGCTAATGGCAGTAAGTGCTTAACTATTGTGCCACCAGAACGCCTCCTAAAAGCAATTAATTCATTGTTCCAAAAGATACATAATTTATAAATCACTCAGGTCAAATCAGAAAAGGCAATTTAGCTAGTAACAAATGTAAGGAATAATAACATTTTATCCCTTGCTTAAATATACTTTGAGTTCTAATTTCAAATATTAAGGAAATAATTCTCTGGTCTCATCTTTAGACTGGGACATCATAATATTCTATCTGAGACTACCACAGTATTCAGAAATCCTTGCTGTCAGAGGGAGTTGCAGGTGTGTGTGTTTCAGGGTGAAACAATTGATCATTTTCAACTTAATTTTCATAGATTATATTTGGTAAACAAGAAGTCCTCCCGCAAACCATTTTCAACCGAATTGCTGGGACAACATTGTGCAACCATTATATAATGGATATTATCTGTTCCAAGATTAACTTTGCTCTGTTTGGATTTGATCCACAAAGCCTAAACCTGGTATGGATATTAGAATGTTTTTTTCTGAAAAGTTTTCAAGTAACATTAGTGCCTTCAAATTACTTTCAATGTTTTGAACCTTTATTCTAATACTTCAGCCATTCATCAAAATAGTGGTCACTTATCAAGACTGTCTATACACCACAGAAAAGATTAAACTATCATAAAATGTATTTAACAATGATTTAACAATAATATATACTAAGTAAAAATTCTATACTTTATTTATAAAAATTCTATTATTTCTTCTATACTTGGAGTTGGTTTGAACTCATAGCGACCCTGTACATAGTTTCTGAGAAGTGGCTGGTAGGTTTGAACTGCTGACATTGAAGTTAGCAGTTCAGTGTTTATCCTACAGTGCCACACCAGGACTCATACACTTTGTAAGTAAACCTTATATGTATATTTATGTGAAGAATGATGATATTTCTTGACTCATTGAATTTAAACTATAATTTCATTTGTCAGTGACATACTATGACATATTCACATAGTTATAAATAATTTAGAACTTTATTTACATATTCTGAATTTTATAAATCACGTATTAAATATTTTATAAGTCATGTATTTAGTACATGACTTACAAAGCTGAAAAAATGTAAATAAGTTTCTAAGTTGCTTATGATCTTGTAATTATGTGGTATTAAATCACTGCCAACTGAAATGATAGTTTCAGAAGGCAAGAAATATCATCATTCGTCACATAAATATCAGCATCATATTTTAGTTGAATATTGCATTAGATTTCAAATTATTGAGATGAAACAATGACTGATAATATTTTTTCCCAGAGTTGCACTGATGTATATTTGTCACAAAGCCCAGCCGGAAGCTCTCTTCAAAATATTTTGCATTACATACAGGTAGGGCCTTTCATTGTTTTTTTCACTGTGTTTCAGAGTTGTCAAATTTCCTCTATAATATAGTGGCCTTCTGGCAGGGAAGGTGTACATGGTTAACAATGAGAAATATGAAGAGATGGAAAATGTCTTGTGTTACCTATCCCCTACATTGGATCTGGCTTCTCCGTTATCATAAAGCATACATAGCTTAATATCTTGATATCTACTTTCAAAAATGCAAAATCAATGAAGTATTTTATTTTATAAAAAGAACCTTGTAATCTAAAAAGAACACAAGTGTCATCAAAGGAGCACCTTCTCCTATATTTGCTGACAGATAGTTAAATCTTGATGTGGGAAGAACCTATATGAAACATTGTTGTTAAGTGCTGTGAAGTCGGTTCCAACTCATAGCACCCTTGCATAGGGTTTCCAAGGAGCACCCAGTGGGTTTCAACCGCCGACTTGTGGTTAACCATCCAGTGCTTAGCCTATAGCGCCACACCAGGACTCCAAATGAAATGTAGAATAATAAGAATTAAATTTCAATAAAAAAATAATATGAAGTCAAAGTGATAAAAATGGAAATTTGCATAACTGTTTTGCTAATCTGTATTTTCTGGAGAAATAGCTGAAATGGCATAATATCTGAGCCCACTACAGTATTTTGAAATCCAAGTTTCATTTCTACTGTCTGCCTGCATTCTTTTAGGCAAGAATACAGAAGAATATTGGTTTAGAGTGTTGGAATAGGAGAGGAGGATACCAGACCTGGTAGTTCAACAATTCAAAATATTCAAGTTTGTAAAGCCTACTTGCTCACATTCTTTGTTTATTTACCTATTTTATAAACTTGGTGGATAAAGATGATCTGTCCATAAAACTTTTGTGCAGTGCTTCAGTCAAAAGTCATCACTTTTAACATTCAATTTAATTCACATTTTTTTAAGGAGTAAGGGTTGGCCTAGGGCTAACCTAGGTTGGTCTAGTTTTATATATATATATATATATATATTGCAATTGTATTTCTGGTTCAGATTGAATGTGTCTATATTTGGGCTGAATCTAGGTGGTATTGGTATTGTCATTTGTATTAATCGCAGGTTGGCAGCTGTTCTTAGTCTCTGTCACAAGAAGTCCCTTTAATATTTTTTTTTTGTAAAGGTTATCTGGTTTTTACGTATTCTTTAAATTTCTGGTTACCTTAAAATGATCTAATTTTACTGACATATTTGATGGACAATTTTGTTGGATATATGAATCTTGATCTCCAAGTTTCTTCTTTCCAAGGTTTACATATGCCATTGCATTGTTGTCTTGTCTGTATGGATTCTGCTGAGAATCAGAGCTTAGTTTTATTAGTTCTCCTTTTTAGGTAACTTTTTGGTTTTCCTCAGTTGCTCTCCGGAATCTTTTTCTTGTCTTTGGTTTAGAAATTTTGATTATAATATATCAGTGTGTTTCTTTTGAGGTCTATCCTGTTTGAAGTTTGCTCAACTTCTTGAATGGCTATCATCTCATTTTTCATAAATTTAGGGAAGTTTTTTTCAAACAACTCTTGGACAATAGTCTCTATTTTTCTTTTCTTTTTTAGCTCTTGGAATTTCAATCACTAGTAAGTTATTCCTTTTGATAGTATCCCACATAAATCTTAGGCTTTCTTTGAATTTTTTTGTTCTTTTTTCTGATTGTTCCTCTAGCAGACAAATATTGAGAGATTTTCCTTCAAGATCAGTAATTCAGCCTTCCATTGATTCAATTCTACTTCTTTGTCCTTTCAATGTATTACCTATTTCTGAAGTCTTAGTATTAATCTTCTGGCTTTCTGAGTGCTGTTTTTGTATGGTCCTATTTTTTTCATTTGTCAGTTTGTGTGTTGAACTCTTCTATCAATTTGTCCATGTTTACTTTGATTTCATCTGCAGTTTTCTCCATCATTCTCTAAGTTCACTGGAGTGCCTAACCAGCATTCCTTTCTATTCCTGATCAGGTAGTTCAATACTGTTTCTGGGTTATAGTTTCTGACTCTGGATTTTGATCACTGTGTCTTGCTGCTTCATTAAACAGAAATTATCTGTTTTCTGTGAGACATTGTGGTATCATTTTTATGTTTAATTGATCATTATATATTGATATGTTCTCAGACACTCATCACATCTCCTGGTGGATGTGTTAGAGACTATAAGTGTGAAAGCAGTTCTCTGTCTCCTGTTTGTGTAGCATAGTTCAGGTTCCTGCACCTCCAGAAGCAGAGGCACTGTGTCTGATGCTGACTCCAGGCAAACAAGATACCAATCAGCAAGGGGTGCAACCGGCTGCTGTGTTTGTTAGGGCAGGGACTGGCCACATCCTTGGCTACCAGGAGGGCATGGAAACAGGGAGAACTGCACCCGGTTGCTGCCAATCTCCAGTCATATTTTGTGACTGCAGGCTGTTATATTAACAGCTGCTCACAAAAGCTAAAGATGATCAAGTCCTCCATGTCCGCCCACAGTCTGTTCATTATTTCTCTCTCGCTCTCTCACTGCTCCGCTTTAGCGTTCTCTTCCAGTTGGCACTCAATCCACCTCTCTTTTCTATCTTGTGATGCTCAGGGATCCAGAATCAACATCTATATCTGTTTTCCTTGGTCTCCCATGTCTTTGTTGAGAAGGTAGTCTACTTATTCCACCGTCTTGCAATGAAAGCCATTACTCTTTATAAAAGTATCCCGTAGTTAATTATTACAACAAAAACATTTTTTCATAAACCCAGCTTACATTTATCAATGCAAAGCTAATTTACTTTTTGAACTATATAATGTGCTCCAGTCAGCCCTGTTATTATTACTCAATTACAATGATGTTTCAGATCACATGGTTTTATCTGCACACTCACAAAATCCATACTGTTGTTTGAGTTATTGCCAGTGTATTTATAGACACTAGTATTATCAAGTTTTCTGAGTTTGTAGCTACAATGTTGTGATAATTAGCAGTTGTATAATTTTAAAAGACTTCCACTTAGTTATTAACAATGTTGTAGCTAAAAATGTTATAAAATACAATGTAGAAATTTTTCACAAAAGCATTTTGTTGTTAGTATATATACAATCTAAAATTAAAAGAAAACATTGTAATGGACAGGAACCCAATCATCAACAGTTATTATTATTTATGCCTTTGTTTTCTTCTGCTTAAACAATGCAGAGCCTGAGGTAGAATGGATAGTGCAGGGAGTTTAGAGAGGAGTTTAGTGAGTGTAGACATTTTGTACAGGGAAGCATGTGTACCTAGAGCTTACTTAAACCAGGAAATCAACATCAGAGAAACAAGATGGACATACTCCTGAAAAGAAAGCATTTTTCATCCTCAGGTACATTTTGACTTAACTTAGTCCTGAACTGTGAAAACTGATCCCTGACAACAAAGGTAAAGATTACCAAATAAAAAACAAATGCATTGCCATCAATTCAATTCCATCTTACAGCTACTGTACAGGACAGTAGAACTGCCCCATAGGATTCCAAGGCTGCTATCTTTAGGAAAGCTGATGGCCACATCTTTTCCCAAGGAGCTGCCAGTGGGTTTGAATCTCAACCATTTAGTTAGCAGCCAAGCGCTTCAGAACAGCACCACTATGAGATGTAATAGATTCAATGGCAGAGATTTGATTTTTGATTTTTAAGGTAATAGAAAAAGAGAGAGTCCTGGTGTGGTGCTATAGAGTAGAGGAAGCATTGGACTGCTGACCACAGTTTGATAGTTCAAACCCACCACTTCTTGGAAACCCTATTCAGGGTTCCTATGCGTTGGAACTGACTCTATGGCACTTTATAACAACAGCAACCAAATCATTAGTCTTTGGACTTGGAAATGCTTAAGAGTAAAAGGAGCAGAAAATGTTTGCACTCTTCTCAATGATTCATGTTCCTTTGGAGTTACTAGTTTTCGTTTGCTGATTTGGAATATGCAAAGTGATTTCTTTGTATGTATGTCTTATGTAAATTTGAAATGTCAAAAATCTGTATCTTGGGCTTTTAATTTAATTTTTTGTTCTTATTGAAGGCAATTCGAGACGTTCGTAAAGTACTTAGAGCTTACGACTATGGAAATCATACTCAGAACATGAAACACTCTGAGCAGGTAAATGTGTAATGAGCAAAAACTCCAAAAAAGTTCATTTTTTAAAAAAGGATAAATGCGTTTCCACTAAATATTTATACAATAGCTATTTTACAATTTGTTTCTGTAGCCGTTTACTTTCTATGTGTAAGTGTGTTGTGAGTTTAGCAGAAGAAATTTCCAGAACAGTCAGGTACTTGAATGGGTTCATCAGACATGGCGGCCAGACAGGGTCTTCTGCTTCCCAGAGTTCTTCCGTATTTTCAGCAAGGGGCACGCTATCATCTTAAGAAACATTAGTTTATCCCATTATCTACTGCTGCTTCTAGAGTGGAACTAATGGTTGTTTTCCTCTATTGTTTACATTTAGCCCATTCCGCCCCAGTACAGTATGAAGACGCTGAACGTGAGAACTGCAGTGTGGTATGGTCTACAGGACAACTTGGCTGACCCTCTGGATGTACAATTTCTACTCCCTGACATCCCTAACCTTATTTATGTCAAGTCACTGCCTTTATATAATCACATAGATTTTCTATTTGGATGTAAAGCACCTTGGGATATTTACTATGAAATTATTGATATAATAAGGAATAACCCCTAAGGATAGACATCATTTGGAGTTTTATCAGTAGAATTTATTTTGAGAACATTATTACTGATTTATTCTCTTTCACAATAACTTCATAAAGATGATTATAACTTTTTCCATTTATTTCAATAAATCATTATTTTCCTCAGTCATGCCATGTATGATTTTCAGGGCTGTTTTAAAATTTTTCTATGAATCAATTTTTTTTTTTTTTTTTGCCAAATCCAATATGTCAGCTAACTCCTGTTTATTCTGCCTTCTAAGTAACCCTACTTTGTCCACGTCCTCTTTCCAATTCAAGTTGATCTTCCTTAATTCTAAAAATATTATTGTTGTTGCTGTTGTTATTGTTGTTGGATGTCTTCGAGTCAGCACCAACTCATAGTGACCCTATGCACAACAGCATGGTGTGTCCTGCACCATCCTCACATTCTAGTACCTTACTTAACAAGTTCTGACTTATCAATGCACCTCTGAAACCATGACAATAATCATGATAATGAACATGGTCATCATCTGAGAAGTTCACTGCTGTAAACCTCCTGTCCTACCTCTTTCTAGCCCTCTTCATTGCCAGTCAACAGCAGGTCTCCTTTCTCTTAATACAGATTAGTTTGTCTTTTCTAGAATTGTCAAATAAATAGACTAATACAGTATTGATTCTTTATTTTCTGGCTTGTTTCAGCCTAATCATTTTGAAATTCATCCATGTTGTGGCATTTATCATCATTGCTTTTTATTAATGTATAGCATTTTACTGAATGCATATACTATAAATTGTTTATACGTTTATCTTTAGATGGACATTGTATCATTTCTGATTTCCTTTTGATTTTCTGTTACAAATAAATCTATAGTGGATATAATGGTATCTCATTATGGTTTAGTTTGTACTTTCCTAATGACCTGTGATGCTATGCGTCTTTTCATGGGATTATTTGTCATTTACACATCTTTTGGGTAATGTTCCAATTGAAATAATTTGATTTTTATCTAGTGGGTTGCTTGTATTCCTATCACTGCATTTTGAGATTTTTTTTATAATCTGGATTAAAGTACCTTGTTATCATTAAGTGTCATGAAGTCATTGCTGATTCACTACAATGGCAGAATGAAATACTACATAGTCTTGTACCATCTTCACAATCAATGCTGTGTTTGAGTCTATTGTTCCAGCCACTGTATCAGTCCGTCTCATTAAAGATCTTCTCCCTTTTCCCTGACTCTACTTTACCAAGCATATTGTCCTTCTCAAGAGAAACTGATGATGTCTTTTGATAACATGCCCAAAATACATGAAACTTACCATCCTTGGTAAGAAGCATTCTGACAGATAAAGTAAAGAATCTTTCTCCCATTAACTTCTCAGTATCTATCTGTGCACCTCTATTGTTGTGACTAGAGAAGGTGCCTGAGTGAGTGGACACCCCTCCAACTACTGGAGGCTTCTATGATGCACACACACTGCCTGGACAGGCAGTTGGACAGTTGGTCACAGTTTTATTATTGTTTCAAAGTAATGGTTCTTGTCTCTGCTTTTATATTGCTTCTACTTTTGGGCCTTTTGATCATACATTTTTCCTGGATGTGAGCACTTTTTCTCCCTACGTTACCCAAGAAGAGTCAGCAATCATGGCCATATAGCAAACTACAAGCATACCCCATAATATTTCACCATTGAGACAAGAGCCAAAAACAGCTGTTAAGCATTACATGTGAAAGGGAAAACCTATCTCCTGATCAGATCCACCAGGAGACACCAAGTAAGCTTAATAACACAGCAACAAACATCCATTTAAGCATTAAAAATCCACACAACTAGTGGAAGTGACAAACAAAAGATACCAAAACATGTCCCAAAACAGAAAAGAGTAGCTGAGACAAATGACCTGGAGACAGACAAAGGCTTTCTAGAAGAGGAAGAGCAGGTTTTGGATTTGCCTGAGAAGGAATTCAGA